TTGATTCGTCCACAAATTATATTCTCACCGAAATTTCCTTCACTATTTATCGCTTCTAACTAATCAATTAGTTACATTTATTGATCTGTTGTCTAATGTTTTTCATTTATTCCAAATTACCTTTGAAGAAGGTTAAGTATGTTGTTAAAGAGTTATATCCCTACTTCGTTGAATAGTAATAGTATCAGTAGTAGTAGTAGTAGTTAATAGAAATTAGTATTGACCAGTAATTGTGATTTATATTCCCTTAATATTCAAATATATGTCTTGTGGCAGTTAATTATTTCCCTATTTCATATTATCATTATCATTAATATTATTATTGTCAATGGATGAAATTTGTTAGCGATGATACGGATACTTTAATCATGTAGAGAAGGGAGACAATATTCTATCCTGTATGTGTTTATTCATGCATAAATGATCAGTATTAGAAGGCAACAACACTACCAATAATAATAATAATAATAAATCAAAATGACACAACACATTCATGTAGGTAGGAGGAATGATTTTAATCAACGCAATTCTGTCACATTTAATAATAATTATGATATATATATAAATAGAAATGATTAATTAATTAATTATCTGTGAGAGAAATACTCACTTTGAGTTAAATCAAAGTATACTAAGAACGTATGTTGTATGTATAAATGTAAATGTTTAATTTTAGTAGTTGAGATCATAAGTCAATTGAAGCTAGATAAATATGGAAAACCCGGAAGCACTGGACGGCCGTTTCATCCTATTGGGGAACTGCTCAGCAGTGCACATCCTCAAATCCTGCCTCGTGAGATTCGAACCCAGGACCAGTAGTTCCTGAGTTCTGTTGAAGATTCCCACAATAGGACAAAATGGCCGTCCAGTGCTATCAGCTTTTCCATGGTGGTCTAGCTTCAATTGACTCATGATCTCAACTAGTAAAATTAAACATTTACATTTATTTTAAAATTACTATAATATCCACAAAATCCTTTGTGAAAATGTTTAATTCAAAATAGTTGAATATAATTTATCGCTCAGTTATATACACTTGAATAGGATCTGGTTATTTGAAGTGGTTTCATTCATTTTAACCTAATAATAATAACGTTCTAGATATTTGTAGAAAATCTATGTCAGATTACAGACACGATCAGATTGATATGAAATATTTACTATGTAATCACATAAATGGGATACTTTAGTTTCCGTTTATTGTGAAAAGACTTGATTTCTCGCTGAACATTTGTAATTGAATTGATAATAATATGAAGTAATGAAATATATGATGTAAGATGATTTCCCAATACAAAACTATTGTTTATAGATTTTATGTCCTACAACTAAATAATACTCTTAAATAAGCTTAAGTACTAAAAACATAGGCATCAAGGTCTTGAATGATTGATACTCTATGCTTGACGTTTAGTCTATTACTAACTAGCTCTGAACGAAAAGGAAAAACACAAAACTGACGGTCACTAATCCAAGATAGTTATTTTATTTCATCCATTCATTTATATACATACAAGACCAAGATCACGCAGCAGACCAATTGGGTAACAGTATCCACACAGAAAATGGGTTACTGGGTACACAAATAATTGGTCCTAGTTTATGAGGACAAGATGCTAGACCATCATGGATGAAACAGTCATCCAGTTCTTCCAGGTTTTCCATGTTGGTCTAGCTTCAATTGACTTATAATCTCAACTATTGAAATTAATAAGATATACATAAAAATCCTAGAAAGTTGTTATTCAATGAGTTATCGCATGGAAAACATTACATGTTGACCATGAAAACAAAGTACATGAAACAATTTAAGCCTTGACACTTCTACATTGTTTATTTGTATCATTTCAAAATAGTGATTGATAACTTTACAATTATTTAAAGTTACTACTTTGATTGATGCCTGTCGTTTTATTCTAAAAACAATTTTCTTATTGGATACAAGTGAACTACTTGTATTTTTCAAGAGTTATAATTTGACCAGTGGAGTTATTCCGTGTCAGGTAGAGACAGGTATCTACCTCAATACAATGGAAGATGGTCACACACTTTCGTGGATTGGTTGAAGTTAGACATTAACACCGTTAGATGCTGGCCGGCTCAGTGGTTTGGTAGGTTAAGCGTTCGCACACGAGACTGAAAGCTTTGGGTTCAAATCCCACTAGCGCACTTTTGAGGAGTCTCACAATAGGACGAAACAGCCATCCAGTGCTTCCAGGTTTTCAATGGTGGTCTAACACCAATTGGTTCAATAATTTAATAATCTCCACAACCATATACTGATATCAATATTTTGTTTGATTTTTCGTAAAGTTTCTTTTCTGTTTAGTTTTTTTTCTATGCTCTCTTCGTTTTTAACCTTATTTTAATGATGTAATTCACTTACAAACACATCTACAACGATCTATTATAGAATATAGATATCTTCTTGAAGGTTTTGCATGTATTTTGTTATGCAAGCTTCATGGGCACCGGGGCAGTATCACAGCCCTCACACATATCGAATGAGATTTGTGTGGCGTACATGTATTTGGTGCCTCTTTGTACCAATATCTGTGTGTTAAAATAAAATAAAGCTTCATGGATAATAATAATAATAATAATAATAATAATAATAATAAATGTCTGTTCAGCATCATTTATGTAATATGTTGACCTCTTGCGCTACCAGGGACAGCATAAACGTTTTATAATTATGAATGTTCATGATTTGACCTTGATCTTTTCTTTTTTTTAATTATTATTTTGTTTTGATAATTTAAATTCAATAGTGAAATGAACGGAACAAATATTTTTCTCGATTTGTCTTCTTTCTTCTTTGGTTATTCTCTTCTTCATTCTTCATTCATTAGTGACGTCATCATTTTTCTTTGACCATTAATTAATTAATTAATTAATTTAATAATTATTATTTTCTATAACAAAATAGATTAAAGTATTCCTTTAATTATATTTCCTTGTTCAGGTCATATAGTTATAAGTGGAAATATTCATAATTGAAGTGTATTTATACCTAGTTATTATGGTAGCATACTCTTGTTGTGTATTCATTATGTATATATATCTACATATATATTTGTTTACATTGTTTACATCTTCGGATACTTTCATGTTGCATTGATCTTATCATCATAAATTACTTCTCTTTTTTATAATGTAGGATATAATATGTGTTACCCTTATTAAAAGATTTCACTTTATTACTACTTTTATCTTTAAGGACGCTAAACATTTTGGAATAGTGAAAAAGATTTGTAGCCTAGATGGATTGTTTTGATTTTATTTGTTATTTGAACACGTAGTTATTGGTACAATAAGGGACCAAATACATATGCGCCATACAAATCTCATTTGATTTGTGTGAGAGCTGTGATACTGCCCGGGTGCCCAAACTGAAGCAGGTGGTTTTCTTAGGGGGCCACTCTCCGAGCCTTCGACCTGAATGTCTGATCCACAAGGCAGTGGAACATCGTAAGGAGATGAAGTCCCATGGAAGCCGGTGACCAACGATTGGTTCATTCGCCATTTGTTCCCTTAGGATACAGGAGCCCATGTGCACCGTCGGTTTGGAATCAGGGTTTTCCAACTCCCCTAGGTGGACTCTCCATGTCCACCGGCGTGGTTAAAGCGCCGGCATTCGCATTTCGTCCTCTTAATTTCGCAAACAACACCCGTGGTGCGAGAAGGCAATGAGTAGGACTTCCCTGGCAGAGGCTATAAACACGTGGCCATGTGAGAGCGTTTCGAGATGGAGAGCGGACTCTCCCCACTCTCGGCCGTACCAGGGCATTTGGGGGCCTAGGTATTTTATTTTCAGAGTTTTCAATATCGTGTTCTGAACAACATCATCAGTGTCTACTAAATGTAGAAGTTAGTTGCTTAGTTATTCCACCAGTCTTAATCCGTTTTTTTTTCTGATAGTTTTGTTTTTGATTGGTTGTTTTCGTAGGCTTTGCTATTTTCAGTTGTTCATCTTTGCATGTTCACTATCTGACCATGTGGTTGACTAAGTTTCTTCGTAAAGATTGATAGATCGGATCTATATTAATACATCTATTGATACCCATTTAATCTGAATACTATAATTCTAAAAATTCTGTAATTCTTTTACGGTTTCAGTTATCCAGAATTCCGATGGGTTTTTTTTCAATCTCGCTTAGAGAAGAAAACATCACAAAAAGAAACTTTAATAAATTGATTAATTGTAAAATTCATGGACTTATTAGTAGATCATTGTCCTTTATTTAAGTAGTAAATATTATTTTTAAAATTGATTATTATTGGTTCAATAGGATTTATTTTATTACACTATATTCATAAATTTTTAAGCAGAAACTCGAATACCTTGGCAGTGGTAAGGTTTTGTAAATGTAATGCAATTCATGTATATTGAAATCTTACAGTCAATATCAGTTCCCTGAAGGTTGATGCAGTGAATTTCGAACAGTGTGAAACTCACGTTAACTAGGCTTTCGAGCAAACTGCTTCTAACTAGGTCGCATCATCGTAAAACATAAGAGTTTTACGAAAGATAGTGTTTATTGCATAATGAATAAATGGAATTAAATATTCAGCTTACCTTACACTTTTACTGGGTTAGAATTTCTCACAATGATTCAGATATATTCACTATTTATCTTATTCTAGATCTTGAGTTCTAACGTTTTGTCATGAATACCTTGTCATCTTGTTAGTTTTGTCTCTGTATTAATTCGGTATATGACTTTGAACTAACGCATATTTTTACTGAACTCTCCGTTGATTATGACTGGTTAACTTTCACTGGTAACTAGAATCATGGTATAAAACACCAACTCTCCAATACAACTGTGTAGGACTATATTTCCTCCTTAGGCTGTGATGAAATTTAACTTATTATTTAAGTCTGTACATATACAGACTTATTTCAAGTCCTTTTACTGTTTCAATATTCACTTCAGTTTCTCGCTTTTTAGTCCATTTCTCTCTATTTTTTCCCATTCATTTTCTTCCTCTTCTAGGTTAACAGAAGTTTATGGAAGTAATGAACATACAAGTGGTTATGCATGGTGTCCAAATACACATGTAGAGGATGGTTTACGTGAATGGATTCAAGCAGAATTTTCACATTTAGTCATTATTAGTGTTATATTTACAGCTGGACGTGGTGATGGAAATGTGAGTTGTTTTTTTCTTTATTTATTTCCTTTTTCAGTATTAGTGTTTTTAGTAGTGATTATATAGCTTTATGATTTTTAAAATATCCTTTCCAGCTCTTTCTAGTTGTTATTCATCCTTTTCATATCTGCTTTTATTTCCTGACGTAATGTGTTCTTTGGCCTTCCTCTTTTCCGCTTCCCATCAGGATTACAAATTAGGGCCTGCCTCGTGATGCAGTTTGATGATTTGCGTAATGTATGTTCTATTCATTTCCATCGTCTTTTCCTAATTTCCTCTTCATCTGGAAGTTGGTTTGTTCTCTCTTACAGAAGGCTGTTGTTGATGGTATCCGGCCAATGGATGTTGAGTATCTTGTGTAGACAGCTATTTATAAGTAGTTGTACCTTCTTGATGATGGTTGTAGTAGTTCTCGAAGTTTCAGCTCCATACGGTAGAACTATCTTGACGTTGGTATTGAAGATTGTGACTTTAATATTGGTTGACAGACAGTTGTTTTGATTCCCGTATATTCTTCAATTGTTGGAATGCTGTTCTTGCTTTACCAATCCTCGCTTTTACGTCTGCATCCGATCCTCCTTGTTCATCAATGATAGAATAATGGTGATTGGATATCCTTAATTGTGAAACTAGGGTTACATGCATTAGAAATAATCAATAATCTTTTGTAGATTATAATATACACCTTATTTGACAAGTACTAACTAATATGAAATTCAGATCAAAGCGGGTTTTCAATCGATTGATTACTTTTTTTTTCATTCAAACAATTTCATGTCAAAATTTGTTTCAGTTTACCCATACACACACAGTAACAATGATATCATGAAGTCTTGAAGTATTAAACTATCTATTCATCATTAAATTTATTTTATTCCAATTTAGTCAATAAACAGTTATTATTCATAAGACAATGTATTTCATGCTGTGAAAACACATATAAGTGAATTTTGTAGCCAGGTGTTAACATGTTTGTCTATGACTTGTTGTCAAGGTGTTTCTAACACCTATTTTATTATTATTATCATTATTGTCAGTTTTTTTCTCTCTCGGTGTATGTTTCACGAATAAATAGTCAATTGATAGAAAAGTAATCAGTGTGAAAAGAAAGAGCACAGATTTTCTTTTGTTTCTTTTTTTTCTTCAAAAATATTGTTTGTATACAGCATTTGTTTACATTCATATGTTAGATGAAATAATTGTATTTGTCTTTCTTTCTTTCTCTCAACTCAATTTACTGATTTGGTTGATGTCCGGAGAAAATATTGGTTTATAGTCATCATAGTTCGTTTTAATGGCGTTTTTCTTAGTTTTTTTTTATCTACATAGAAAATTTCAAATATATTTGATTTGAGTTCTATGAAGGAATTTTACTAAATTTGAGTCTGAGTAATGTTCCATTAAGAGTAGAAGATACTCGTTAGCTCTTAGTATTTGACCACGGATACTTTAGAAATATTGCTCGTATCTGCTGAGATCACCGGGTAAGTAATAGTGAGGTTAGACGTAGGGTATTAGGGAATGATGGTAAATCAGTTGATGAGTTTGTGAATTTTGATCGACTCAGATGGTTGGGTCACGTTTTACGTATGCCTGAACTCCGATTACTACGATACGCAATGCTGACTAGTGTAGGGGATGGATGGAAGAAAGTTAATGTCGGCCAAACCAAAACGTGGCATCTGTGCTTGAAGTGACTAACTTGTAGTGTGATCCATGTTGGTAGATGCAGACTACTTGGTTGGGATCCGTGTGACTATCGTAACCAATGGTTGGAGACTCTTGGAGATATAGCTCAGAATCGATCACAATGGCGTAGGTGTATACATTCTCTTAAAGTATAGGATTAAAATTTCTTTATATCTTTCTTTCTGTACTATATCTTTATATGCAATCTTTATTTTATACATTACTATTATTGAAATGACCACTTCTGTGAATTCGGTGTTGATGTTGTTGTGCTAATGGTGTGTGGCAGCTTGGATCGATACATATATGTGCCTGGTCTTACGTTGTAACTGACCGACTGAGTAATTTTCCCTGTCTTATAGATTTTGAAGTTTGTGTACAAAGTCGATGATAGTGTTGTTCAGCGCATCAATTGTTTGTTTGATACAACTGAAAATTTATTGAGTTATTCAACTCTGTAGACTCAACTAGACAGGGGGAAATCTGCCAAGAAAATGTAATGTTTGTGACTTGAAACTGATGAATTTAGTTTGTAAATGCTTATGTTTTTGTATCATAGTATTTTAATTCATTGATTGTTACCATAGTGTCTTCTACTGTTTATAGATTATGGTTAATTAACTCTATTGTTAACTAGTTGACCCAAGTTGAAGATAGCTTTGAAATCCAGGGAGAGTTGAACAGCTCTTCCTAGCAGTACGTACTCACAACTCAATCAGGGATTTAACCCAGGATCTTCAGATCTGGTAGTGAATGCCTAACTATTCTAAACAATAGATAAACCACCAATGTTGCATGATGTTTGTCAAACGCCATTAGTGACCACTGTCCTACTCCCGATGTGTTTTTAAGTTCGACCGATCAGAACTTTTCACTAGAACTTCGGGAATATTTTGAAGTAGGTCACTAGCGTGCACTACTTAAGAGTCTCTCTACTGGGACCAAGTATACCTATTCAACAAATTACATGTTAACAATTCCCTCATGGCATTTGTTATTTTCATTGATTTATTATTATTACATGCACTTTGAGAATTTTTCTGTTTCTCAAGGTCATACTTGGTTACTATATGTATTAAATTGTTTTATACCATGTTTACCTCAGCATCGCTGCCTTCTTTCTGGGTTCCGTCTCTAGGACTTATTTTCGAAGCGTTGTATTTCTCGTTCACCACTCTATCAAATTTGCAATAGATTCCATTCCTATTAGAATTATTTCAATCTTTACTAAATAATAATTAGTGTAAGCTCAATCAAATCAAATCGAGAGATAAAACAGATTTAATGTAATAACAATAATAAAGTCATAGTAATATTAATATATTATTGTATAAACCCAAAACGGAAGCAACCATAGTTATACTATCAACATAAATCTATTTCCCTTCAATAGTCATAGTAATGTAATATTGTACACGTAAATCATGTATGCTTTGCTTTGATTTCTTTTTCTTTTTCGTGAGACACAATGAACTAGACAGGGAAGCTGTAAAATTTCCATGCTTTCTTTTCTATTTTCTATATGTTTCATTTAACTTTGAATTGTGTAAATGTAAATGTATTTGTATACATGTGTGTGTATGTACGTGCGCAGAACAATGAACTGCTGTACGTGTTATACCAACGATTTATTTGTTAGCGAATGCACATAGAATACGTAAACTACTCATTAGTAGGCATATTCTTATGGGACTAATTGTTCTTATAAAATTGTAGCAGTCAGTACTCTGTGAAGCCCACATAAGCTATTCTAGCTTCTGGACTGACCAATTTATTCATTCTCCTGAAGTCACGTTTTGACCCTGTCACTTGTTTACTTATTAACCCTGGCTGTTTTTATATGATTGTATATGTGTTAATTACTTACCCTATTCACGATGTGCCTATAACTTCTTTTTGTCTGAACATAAATATTGAGTCACGCTTGATCAAATCGAGTTGGCTCACTCGACTTCTCATTTCATTTCGTTTCGCTTTCTTCTCTTTGTTTTCTTAAATCCGTTTTTATCATCGTCTGTTTGTATCAACGGTTGTACGAAATTTACGTGTTAAAACTTCATTCTCGTATGATTTATTTAATCCCATTATTCACTAATGCGATGATTATATACGAGGGTAGCCGAGATGTATATTTCAGTAAAAATCATCATACGATCTAACTGGAGTTATATGAAGGGACACGATATTGTTGAGGCCATCGATAACCTCTTCAGTAACATTAACCGATCTAATTGGAGTCAGATATAAGGCCACTAAAAAAAAATCAATGATTTGTTTTTTCTCCTGGTCATAATGTAGTGAACAAGAACACGGGTGCGGACAATCGAATGTATTTAGCACGAAAATTACAGACGATTTCTATAAAATCTGAATACCATATAGTAAATCGTCAATTTGCAAAATATTAATGCATCATATCAAACTGGACTGTTTTTGTTGCAAACACCAATCCATTGTCTCCCATTCCATTGCTCATGCGTTTTCTAACAAATTCCATTGTGTTTTCGCTCTTCTTTTCTTGATCTTCCCCTCATCGTCTGCTGTCAGACATTACGTTCCTGACTCGCATAATATACTACTTACATCAATATAAGTAGCACACTCCGCAATAATACCAAGTAATTAACTAAAGTAGCTGACATTTTTTGTGTAACTATCCGTTTATTTATAAGTCAGTTTCAACATATGGGGGGTAATAATTACTCACTGATGCTGCTAGGTGATTAACATCCCACATATCACACGTAGATTGAATTTCAAGAGGTGGATCATTGTGTTCAAATTCACAACGGTTTAAATGTAAACCACTGGCCCCCAAGAATTGAAGGTTCTGGGTTCAACCACAGTACATTTGTGTATGATGGATGTATAGTGCTAATAGGCCTCAACTTAGAATGAAACATTAGCTATCTACTGCCTCATTTATTTTCATCAGTTCTTCCCTTAATATTTCAGTTCATATAACTAAATTTATCTCCAAGAATAAAATTTATCTTGGACCATAATTGATAATTATGTTATCACAAAACAAACAAACAAATGAGAATTATTACACCAACTGTTTTTATTCAGTCGGATGTGTTTAATTACTGTTATATATGTGTATATAAATAGGGTATAGAGATAGATAGCTATCTCTATATACACTAAATAGATAAGTTTTGATTGACAATTACTCGTAATTAGTCTAATCTGTCTGAACAACAACTGTTAACGCGATATAAATAAAGCACTTAATACTCAGTTATGAATTACAATGTTTATTATTAAAGTTTAAAACCAAATTTTCTTGCTTTGATTCACTCATTGTT